GGGTAGTCTGGATTAGGGTTGCCAAGCTGGTAGCACCTTTTAGTGGGGTTTCTTGGACAGATGTTTTCCCAGTGTGATCATCTCTCATGACTTTCAGCACCTTAATCAGCACACCAAGGACAGATGTACAACACCCATATGTCCCCACACTGTGTATCTATGTATATCTGTGTATTTATGTTCTATAAATATGACTGATGTAAATACTGCATTGGTATCAACTTCCTGCTATTCTTATTCCTTAGTATAAATACTTTTATTGCCAGTCACCTTAACTTTTACAGGTTTTTATTTTTAGAAATTTTGCACAAGTGTTAGACCCCTCAAACTTTACAGTAACTATGGAATAGAAGTTTAAGGTTGACTCTATTACCATAAAGAAACATTAACTCTGATTGGAGAACTCATCCTATTGAACAAGCTGGCCATGTGGCAACAACTAACGTCTTAATGAAATGATAAACTACAAATAGTTTCTGCCCTGAGTTTCTCACATTTGTAGAATGCAAATCTTTAAAACGGTAGTGTCCAAATTCATCCCTAAGGGCTGCTATCTGCCATGTAGAAATGTCGTTTCAAGAAAGAAAATGGCAACAGCGGATTACAAAGCTAAGCTGAGCCAATAGGAACATACACTATATTGCCAAAAGTATTTGCTCACCCATCCAAATTATTGGAATCAGGTGTTCCAATCACTTCCATGGCCACAGGTGTATAAATTCAAGCACCTAGGCATGCAGACTGTTTTTACAAACATTTGTGAAAGAATGGGTCGCTCTCAGGAGCTCAGTGAATTCCAGCGTGGAACTGTGATAGGATGCCACCTGTGCAACAAATCCAGTCGTGAAATTTCCTCGCCCCTAAATATTCCACAGTCAACTGTCAGCTGTATTATAAGAAAATGGAAGTGTTTGGGAACGACAGCAACTCAGCCACGAAGTGGTAGGCCACGTAAACTGACGGAGCGGGGTCAGCGGATGCTGACGCGCATAGTGCGAAGAGGTCGCCAACTTTCTGCAGAGTCAATCACTACAGACCTCCAAACTTCATGTGGCCTTCAGATTAGCTCAAGAACAGTGCGCAGAGAGCTTCATGGAATGGGTTTCCATGGTCGAGCAGCTGCATCCAAGCCATACATCACCAAGTGCAATGCAAAGCGTCGGATGCGGTGGTGTAAAGCACGCCGCCACTGGACTCTAGAGCAGTGGAGACGCGTTCTCTGGAGTGACGAATCGCGCTTCTCCATCTGGCAATCTGATGGACGGGTCTGGGTTTGGCGGTTGCCAGGAGAACGGTACTTGTCTGACTGCATTGTGCCAAGTGTAAAGTTTGGTGGAGGGGGGATTATGGTGTGGGGTTGTTTTTCAGGAGCTGGGCTTGGCCCCTTAGTTCCAGTGAAAGGAACTCTGAATGCTTCAGCATACCAAGACATTTTGGACAATTCCATGCTCCCAACTTTGTGGGAACAGTTTGGAGCTGGCCCCTTCCTCTTCCAACATGACTGTGCACCAGTGCACAAAGCAAGGTCCATAAAGACATGGATGACAGAGTCTGGTGTGGATGAACTTGACTGGCCTGCACAGAGTCCTGACCTCAACCCGATAGAACACCTTTGGGATGAGTTAGAGCGGAGACTGAGAGCCAGGCCTTCTCGTCCAACATCAGTGTGCGACCTCACAAATGCGCTTCTGGAAGAATGGTCAAAAATTCCCATAAACACACTCCTAAACCTTGTGGACAGCCTTCCCAGAAGAGTTGAAGCTGTTCTAGCTGCAAAGGGTGGACCGACGTCATATTGAACCCTATGGATTAGGAACGGGATGTCACTTAAGCTCATATGTGAGTCAAGGCAGGTGAGCAAATACTTTTGGCAATATAGTGTATAACTGTGTAGAGGAGTAGAAAGTACGATATTTGACTTTAAAATATAGTGGAGTGAAAGTAAAAATGATTTAAGTAAAGATACTCAAAGAAATTTTTTGAGTAAATGTACTTTGTTACTTTCCACCACTGCTGATAGGAGCTGTTGCCTCCTCACCATGTTTTTATGCTCATATTTGATCACGTAGTTACCAATTTTCCTAGGTGCATGGTGTGGAAATTCTGTATGCACTGATGCATACAGAAGTATGGAAGCCCAAAATGACATAATTTGGCCTTGCATAAACTCACCTTAAGTGCTAAGGTTTATTTGAGCTTGACTCAAATTACCTCTATGTCAAATGTGCAGCATTCAGACAACTTAAAGATTGAGGTTGGGAGGAAAGACTAAACCAGAACTCTAATGTCACACATAGTGAGTGTTGGACCCACTTTCCTGATTTGTGCTACAGGCAGAGAGAAAATGGGAGGCTGATGAGTATTCTTCTCCTCTCTGTGTCAGACAGCCACTCCATCCCTGTGATACAGAAATGGGTTTCACCTGAGGTCCTCAAGCCTAAAGTACAGCTTACCGTCACTTTCACCTAAAGACTAACCTAAACACTGTTTGTGCCTCTGCTCTAATATAATAACTAACTAAGAAATCCTTCCAGGGGCCTCTTGTCTATATTTGCTATACGACGTTGTAATTACTGTAGACAAGTCTAATAGGACTTGTTTAGTGGCTGCAAAGTGGCTTGTTAAAGTGGCTGCATCTGCTCACCTCCAGCCATATACTGCACCTGCAGTATATGGCTGGAGGTGAGCAGATGCAGAAAAAAAATCCTGCAGTAGACCCGTAATTGCTAAAGAAAGATTTTGAGCATAACATCTCATACTCAACTCCTTCCATTTACTCGAGACTGAGTTTTGGGGACAACAGTCTCAGGAGGGACTCCAAGACCTACCTATCTCTAGATCCCTGGTCCAGCACTGCTGGGAGAAGCCCTAGGAGCTCCCAGGCCCCGGGGTCTCCGGCATTTAGGGGACATCCAACATAGATGTCAAAGCCACCTCAGCTGGATTCTCTTCATGTGGAGTCTCTAAGAGAGTGCCCAGCCACCCTGACCAGAAAACTAATTTCAGCAGCTTCAATCTGGGATACAAACCCCCGCAGTATCAGGTTGGAAGTGAGCAGGTGTGGGGAGAGAAGAAAAATCCTGCAGTAGATCCTTAATTGCTAAAGAGAGATTATTGACCATAACATTTTGAGCTCAAATCAAGCGCAAGTGTGTAAATAGGAACAATTAGAGTGCAGTGTGTGTGGAAAGCAAAGGAATGCCAAAAAAAAAAAAAATGCAAAAAGGAGAAATATTTCAACTTTTTTTTTTAAAGAAAGAAAAAGCCATCCTAAATAAATAAATGCCGAAAGATTTTTTTTAATTAAAATTATTTCTTACATATTTTATGACCATGTGCTGAAGACATCATGTTTTTTTTGTTTGTCTATCCTTCTAAACAAAAATTATTCTTGCTACAACTAAAGCAGTCAGTCAATGACAAGGGCCTTTCACAGCTTTTTTTTATTGGCTTGCATTTCTGCATAGGTGGAACGATCTTGCAGTTGGTGTCACATCATTAGAAACTTGGACTGCATATTTTTTTGAATAAAGTTTAAAGGGTTTTGTTCACATTCCCAACCTATCCTTTATCTCATGCGCAGAGATCAGTTGTGCTTTAATCGGGGGGGTTGTGGGGGACATGCACAGTACAGATCAACAGAATTTATATGAAAGGATTTCTATGTTTCCACTGCTTTGATAGCCAAGACAAATCAGGGATATACTGTGCAAAAACTCAGTTTTTCTTTTAGTGTGTTTTTTTAATTTTATTTAATTTTATTTATTTATTGAGCTAATGTATCACATTGGGAGTTTTTATTGTGTTTTAGATTCAAGTGTTCCAGTGCTTAATTCCTAGTTTATGTTTATACATCTCCTTTATAATAGCAGGGGTCACCAATCTTTTTAGGGCTGAGGGCAACTTCATGGTCACTGAATCATAGGAAGAGCTACCAATACTGACCTGGGAGCTGGAGGATTCATTATTCATCTAAACTTCATGCACAATAAACATATGCCTCTTGCCCATTGACTGCTGGAGATAGGCACCAGCACCCCTCAAGACCCCACTCGGGATAAGCGTGTCAGATAATGGATGGATGGATTTTAGATATTGTAATTTTGAAATCTCTATAAATGCTCTATATGATTAATATGACTGAATATTTTATAAACGATTAAAAAAGTAAAGCAAAAGAATAGAATTGCATTTCAAACTTAGCCTCCAGGTGAGTTGTTCTGTTTTCAGAAGATTGTGACGGCACCCTGTGTGGTCCTGTAGGGCCCTTTGGTGACCCCTGCTTTTAAGTTACATGGGCAAAGAATCAATAGAAATGACTACTATCAACAGGTTTACACAAAATGCACGGCTACAGCTATTGATGGATTTGGTTAATTCGCCTCTCTTAAAACATATCAAATCCAAGATCTTCGACAATGTGGTTCATAACCTGACAAGCTCTATCGCCAAGTGGTCTACTTAAGTAGTATGTGTTTCACTAATGCCTCACGCTAAAGGTAGTCTGTTTATTTTAAGATGATATAAAACTTGACCTTGAATTAAGCAAATAGTGACGGTTGAAGCTCTTATCTCCACTGATGCCACTCTTCGATTTGATAACTATGTTTGATAACCGTCTGTACTTAAGCCATTACCGTCGCCTTCTCCTGGTAGCCGAAGTATTTCCTCACAACTAGTATTCAGAGCGAAGCCGTGCGCAACACTGCACCCTGTCTGAAAGGGCCAAAGAAATGCAGGAATAGTATGGTGGAAAACTTCAGTTGTTTTGAAAGTTATTTTTTTCATACCTGAGGTCACCTTAAAACTGATAAGCAACCGTTTTTCTGCCTGGGACTCCTAAGTACCACCATATTATCTTTTTGTGGTTTTGATGTGACAAAATAAAAAGAATGTTAGATTATTATAATTAATCCATAAGTCACCCTTTATTTTCCAAGTCTATTTTCAGTTCTCATAACAAACCTGAAACTCATCCTCTTTTATTTCTCTTTGCACAGGTTGGCCCTTTATGTGTACGAGTACCTGCTGCATGTAGGAGCACAGAAGTCAGCACAGACCTTTCTGTCAGAGGTAAGTCACCAAAACGCTTCTTTAGTTTATTTCCAACAAGCAGCAGGTTAAAGTGCAGAAAGACTTTCTAACGCTGCATTAGATTGGACTTTGACTGTGCCTGAGACACATTTTATCTTGTTTTAGCTGATGTTTTGGGCGGACATCACATTGTCTTGTTCCCTCAGCTACTTGTTTGCTGTTATGTCCCCCGATTATCATGTTCCTTCTGTACAGTGAGATGTAATCTAATTTTCTTTTTCTCTCTCTTTAAATTTGTGGGGTTACGAGGGGACAGGGTGATGCTGAGGCCACTTGATTATTGTGCTCCAGAGTAAATTATGGCAAATTACAATGCAGAAGGCAGCGTCTAGAGGCTTGTTGTACATCAGCCAGAGGGACAACTGAAACAAGGGGGATGGAAAAGGTTACCTCATTGGCTTCCACTGACTGTCATCAATTTGAAATGTTTTTCATCACTTAAGTCTGTGTACATGCTGACTGTTTCTTCTTCCAAAACGGTTACTTGTTTCACTGATCAGTAGCCTTCATTATGTGATTCATTTTGGCATTTGTCATTACTAAAAGCTGCAATATTAGTATTGTATCGAAATTTTTGTAAGTTGTGGAAGGACACCCTATATGGCACAGCTACATTCAAAGTTATAAAACCACTTTTGAGTAGAAAAAGTTCCTAAAAATTAATTAAAAACACTAAACATTTATAACAGGATCATTTCACCTATTCATCCTATGATCCAGTTTTAAGTGAAGTAAAGTCTACCAGACCTACTTTCCATGAAAATGAAAAACATTTATTTGTATTTATAAATGTATTGACAATTCATTCTTATTTGTTGTTTCTCTCTCTACAGCAAGTTTTTATATTTTTCCACAAAATGCTATTTTTTTTAAAGTAATACATCCACAGAACGACTTGAGAGGTTCAGTATAAAGGTATTGATTTTACTGAAAACAATAGTATGTAGATAATTGTTTTATATAATTTTGATTAAAAAAAAAGCAGCATTATCTTTGTGATCTATGGAAAAGGAAAAAGTGTGGCTCAAAATTCTCGGACGTTCCTTAATTTTGGGATCCATGTGATTATGTGGTTTATCCTTGCTGATATACTGGCAAATATGGTCATCAGACAGTATTTAACATATTTTATTTTGAATAAATACAGCAACAGAAAACAAGAAATGAAATAGCATTTGCTAATTAAAATTCCTGTCAGGTATACCATAAAGTTAGCTCGATGCTTAGGAGAGTAAGGCTGTTTATTTTATATAAACTGTCCACATCTGAAAGTAATCACGCTGAGGGGATCTCACTTCTCCATGCTAAATGCTAAATGGAGGAACCTTCAAGGAGTGAAGACCACAAAAAGACAGCATATGCTGGCACACACTGTATCTTCTTTTGTAAGTTCTCCAGATCACGGCAGCATTAAGGACATTGTCCTGATATGAACTGCCTGTGATTCTGTTTGGACTGAGCTTATGCTTATTTGATTTTTCTCATTCAATCAGCAATGCAATAACAAGTAAAATGAAAACATTTTCAAGGTATAAGTAAACATTTTCTGCTAGTCGTTCAAACAAACTGATAAACTTACTGAAGCTGCTTACTGTATCTGAAAGAATGTGGGACAATCAAATGAAGGCAGTTCCTGATCCTCCCTGAAAAAGACTTCAAAGCATGGCATTCCTTCATCTGATCTGCAGCTGAGGTCATGACAGTCTGATTGAAAATGTGGTGATTCAGTTGTTCCTGTTATTTTAGTGCTTTTTCTTTCTGCTGGTGGAGCAGGTGGTACAATAGTCCTATTCTTTAACCCTGATATAACATTCCTGAGAGGGGAAGTTCTGAGACAAAATAAGTGCCTTAGTCTGATAAGAACAGTCTGCCACTGATGGTTGTATGGATTTATATTATTTTGATGCAGATCGCTGGTCTTTGTGGTCCATGAAGAAATATCGAAATTATGGAGATCATTTCTAAAATAAATAGCATCTGATTATATTTGTAAGGGGAAAAAAACCTCTAGATTATATATTCTGTAATCTGTCATAACCACAAAAAAGCTTGGAGAGGTTTTTGTGATCAATCAGTGTTTGTTTTTTTGTTTAGGGTCAGAGGTTAGATTTCACTGTTTGTTTAGCGGTAGGTCTTAAACAGCTCTGTAGTTTCAATACTATTATAGTCTATCGACAAAATAATTACCGGCATCATAAACCATATAAACTGACTTAAGTGTCACAATTGTTAGAATTTGTTCATTCAGAACCACAAACATTTCTAGGAGTAGCCTGTTTGTACATTGCTTGTTGTTTGTAGATCTTGATCTTAGCTTTTAGATCTCTAAAGGATTCCTAACATTTCTTAGTGCCCGATATTTCTGAAGAGCAAAGTTGACCCTTTTTTCCCTTTAACTAGTTTAAGGGGAAAAAACTGTCAAAAAATATTTTATTTTTTTTTGCCCATATGCAACCTGTATTTGATCTTTTTCATGGCAGTCTGAACAACACAGATCCAATTTTTTTCCAATGTGACCCAGGCCAATTGGCTATGTGTTCCTGAATCCGATACGTATCTGATTTTTCAAATGCGACCTGTGTCTGAATGGCCAGGTCGCAGTCATCCGACCTGATTGTTATTAATCCTCTTACTTACTGAGACAACTTATGTTATTTTGTATACACAGTTGTATACCAGTTGTTTAACTAAATCGACTCTCCCCACATTTCCAAAATGGCTGCACTGTTCCAGTGAAATAACAGAAGTTTATTTTGTTATTTCGTTGGAGTAAACATAACAGACTACTTAAAGTTCATTGATCATATTTCAGTGATCAGTTTTAGTTTACTAATCTTAATTACAGAGATATTTTTTCTACCTGGAAGATGGGAAAATCTGATATGGGTTGTTTGAGATGTTTGTTCTAAAAGAATGGACTTATATTGACTAAAAGGAGATATCCTTGCACACAATCTTGATGTAAAGTAGGCCTAAATACACTTTTTATAAGACAGTTCTTGCTATTTCACTGATCCACAGTGTTTTAGTTTTTCCACAATGTTGGTTTCTTGCAAAAAATATCAACATGTTTCGGAGGCACTTTTATCTATTTGTGGTTATCAATTTATTTCATTAATTATTCATTTATAATTCATAGCCTGTTAAGTAAATCTTATTTGACATATTTTATTTTCAATTAAACCTAGATCGAAACAAGTTTCTGTAAAGTGTTGATGCTTCTTTGTTGAGTTATTAATGTTAGTCAGGTATTCATTTTGCACATTGGCTGCCAGAAACTGTGCTCAAAGACTTAATTTGAATGAAACGTATGTCACCCATTTTTAAACTGACTTGATTATTTTCCGTTTTTTAGGTATTTTAAGATAATTATGATTCACTGTTAGACAGAATCCATACTGAGCTTTAAGTATGTGACTCCTGTATTTTTCTGTAGTTCATTAGGACAATGATAAAATCAGGTTTTAATGGATCAGATGTAACAAATGGAAAAGTCATTTGATATAAAGCGAAACTACAAATCAAACTTCATAGATATATAATGAAAAGACTGTGGATTTGGGAATAAAGACAGAAATAGGTCACATGTTTGGAAAAACACAGGGACTGAATTTTTCTTCAAGTAGAATGAATGAGTTTGTGGGCAGACTAAACGGTGGATGAGCTGTTTAAAGATGGGGTGCATTCCTCAGCCTGGTACATGTCTGACCTCAAACTCCTCCTCAGACTAAAGAGACACATTTTTGCCCACATACATGTTGAAATCAGTTTGAAGATAACCTCTTGAGCACAGAGAGACTCCCTTATCCACTTATGAATTACAGAATTTCCCTGTACCCTTTTCAAACCATCAGAGCGTGTCATTCAGATGTCAGACAGGATGTTTCTGAAGCTCCTCTCTCTGTCTCTCTTTCTGTCTGTGTCAAGATCCGATGGGAGAAGAACATCACGTTAGGAGAACCTCCGGGGTTCCTCCATTCATGGTGGTGGTAAGTTTGGGTTTTAAAATCAACAATTTTGATTAAATCTGTGAATATTCTCCATTTGCTCTCTGACATGATGGATTGAAGTGTCCTTTTCTTTTCTTGTTCTTCTCTTCTTTTTGTCTGAATCTACATGACCTCTCATGCCTTGCAGTGTTTTCTGGGACCTTTACTGTGCAGCTCCAGAGAGGAGGGACACATGCGAACACTCCAGTGAAGCCAAGGCTTTCCATGATTACGTGAGTCTGATTACGTGATGTTGCTCTATTTGCAGTTTGCATCAGGTTATTCATTTACCAAAGGAATACAATGTTTCACTGTTTGTTAAAGAAATCTTACATTTACAGTATAGCTGATATGATTGATATGAGGGTTATGTTTGTAAGGCATTTTAATAAAATTCTTACACTACATTCATTGAAACATCAATGCTGCTGAAGTCTTATAAATCTAAGAGGACAGTTTCTTCCTGTCATAAAGTTTCATCATATGCTGTCGAACTTATTTAAGGTCTTCCCTCACCAGGAGCTTGTTATTGTGAAGGAAAGTAATTTGATTAAAGATGACATCACATCCACATCACTTTTTCACTTCAAACAAAATATGTATAACAGGCTTCAGATGCCTCCACGTATGGATGTTGTGATCTGATATTGATCTCGGCAATCTGTCCAATAAAACTAGTGTATGATTATATCTGCCTTCATCTAAAATTCTACTTATAACCACCCTACTAGATGCTGCATTGCTGGAGAAGAGGCAATGTTTAATAACTCTGGGGAAGTTGTGTGAAGGGCGGCTACTAGTTTTTTGTCTATCAGCTTGACCTCCTGGAGGGCTGGCAAGATGAAATAATTGTTAGAAGAAAGCCAATGTCCATTGCTTTTTCTTTGCCACAAGCCCTGTATTTGACATTGAAGAAATGTAGAGGAAGATGCTCTTGTCAGATAAGATGGAACTTTTATTATCTGGATAATGTGTAAGGCTCTGACTACGGCAATAAAGAGCAGTGTAAATGATCCAACTTAAAATAATGGGGCAGAAGAATCATGGTGTTTGGAGGTTTTTTTCAAGTTTATATTTGTTCCTTATAGGAAAGGTTATCTAATTAGGAGAACTGTTGTTTTGATTAAATCTATAGATAGACCAATAGAATGTTTAAATATATGAATCAGCGAATGCTCAGTTCAGTTTTTATTTTCCTATATTCCCTATATTTTATCCTCATAGCACCAATTTACAACATGCCATCTCAAGGCGTAATTAGTTAAATCAGTGATTTAAAAAGTTAAAAGTTTTCTAAGGATACCCAGCAGGTTGCGTTCAGCTTGAAATGTATTCAGGCTCAAAAAATCCAAAAATTAGGATTTTATTATTTATATGGACATAAGTATTTTGAATTTAAAAAATTATCAGACTAAAAATGCTTCATGTAAACATTCCAGTCAGAACATCCTCACTAACATTTTAACTCGAGTAGCACTTTCCTCATTTAGAATAACTTGATCCTGACCAGCATTTACATACAGTATAAACAGATTGTCAGTCAGCTGAAACCAAACCCTCAGTCGTATTTCATTTTTATTTCATTTGGTGCCGATTTCAGTGAGAATATTCGGACTGACATGTTTACAAAACAGTTTTAGTCAGATCAGCCATCTATTCTGATAACTTCTGCCCATGTAAATTTTGCTCTTGACTTCAGGCATTATTCCTGGATGAGAATTTAGTAATGGTGAACAGTTATTGTGGTGAACATTGAGTCACTGATTAAATTACAATTCAAAAATACCTATTAATCCCGAAGGGAAATTAAATGTTGCTGTAACTCATAGGGTTTTATTTTTTTTCTTTATTGTTTTCATTTAGGTTTTGTAGGTGTTGATAGCTGTAGCCAGGAATTTGCAGCAATTCCTCATACCAAGCATGCATGTCAGAATCAGAATCAGAATCAAGTTTATTGCCAAGTAGGTTTGCACTTACAAGGAATTTGACTTGGTGTTGTTGGTGCAGACAAAAAACAAAACAAAATAGCAAAATAAATGGCAAAATGGCAACAGTGGTGTGAAAAACTCCTCTTTAACAGATAGAAACCTCCAGCAGAACCGGGCTTAGTGTAAACAACCTTCTACTCCGTCCGAGCATAAACCCATTACTGACTCAGGAATACTTTATATATTTGAGAAAACTAAGGCTATTAGAGGTAGTAGTGGCATTATCGAAGAGAGAAACACAGCTACAGAAATAAGTTCTGATGAAAGAGAATGTATATTTTGGCACATTAAAAGCCATCCAACTTTAATTTTATGTATTTAGCAATAACTCTGTCTAGCAGAGAGACTAATAAAGATAAGCCAAATGTATCATCTGTAGAAGAAGTCTATGAAGCGGCACCAGCCCAGCCAGTGCTGTCATAGCTGAATACATCAGGCAAGCATGGAGAGAAAAAAATGGAGAGAGAACATAAAGTTTAAAGTTGGCATGAATGTAAATATGCAAATTTGTAAAATTTTAGGAGAATTTTATAAAGTGATGGAAATGGTTCATAATTTCCTCCAGCAACCTAAAGTTTTGAAAGCGATACTATAAAGATAGCCCAGGATAACCTTAGTTAGTTATAAGCTTTATGAAAAGGTAAATTTTAAGCCTAATCTTGAAAGTAGACATGCGTTCTCCTCACATTCTCAAACTGGAAATTTGACCCACAGGAGAAGAGAAAACCAACAGATCTGCCTTGTAATATACTCTTTGAAACCCTAGGAGTGAATTATCCCTTACTTGACTGTTGCTAATGAAGGGCCAGTAACATAAAGACAGTATAAATATCTTCAGCAATTGTTGTGTCATTGTTTTTTTTCCATTTCTGTTGTATGACTGGGCTCTCAAAAACTTGGAGTTGTCTTTCTATTGGTGTAGGTAGAAATCAGAACCCTGATATGTTTTTGTTTTTTTTATACAACAGTGAAGAACTTTTTCTTGTTTTAGCAAGTTATTTGTTTTTTATTTTTTACATTTAAATATCGTGTCAAATGTCAGCATTACTACTGTAGTAGATCTTTCCAGTTTTGCCAGCAACATAGCTGTAAATGCAGCACTGTGATGGTGCCAGTTCGAGTCTCTCCTGCTTTGGTCTGCACAATGTTGGCTTTTGGAAATTTTAAACCAGGTACTTTGAAAACCATAAAGATTGTTCCACCAAAAAAGCAAAAGAAAAAAATACCACAGTATTTAAGTAACATTTTCATTTTTTTTCTATCAAAAATACTATGCCCATCAAAGTGCATGCATCAAATTCACCTTTTTTTCTGTGTTACAGGCCTTAGAATTAATAAATCCAGAGCTGGTCAGCAGGCAGGTCAGGATTCTAAGGAAACGGGGCGTTATTATCGGCTAGTAGATGTCTAATTGATGAATCTCTACTGTAAATATCACCTACTGCTGGCTTTTATCTAACCATGCTCTAATCCCTGTTGCTAAAATTCTGAGTTCTGAATGTTTGAGGGAGGAATAGAGCCTCTTTTCTCATGGAGTTTTATGTTATTGTGTATGAGAAGAGACGCAGAGGTTCTCTTTCTTTTCTTTGTATGTTGTTCTTCCTCTCCCTGCAGTCTGTAGTCTGACTCATCAGATTTGTCTACAGAGGTTTTATTGAGATATATTGTTGGTAGAGCAAAGGTCAGGGGTTTCTGCCTACACCAGCAGGATCTTCTCACTCTTTGTTCCTCATTCCCTCTTTCCTTCTTTTCATCCTGCAGTTCTCTGCTTCTGGCAGTGGTTCTCGTCTTTTATCTGCTTCCAGTGATGTGTGTGCAGGCATACGAGTGTATGCACGCAGGTGAAGCTGCTGATGCTGGTGATGATGATCAGGGTGATGAATAGGCACTCCTTGAATGAGGCGGCGTTGTGATGATGTCATTCTGGCTCAGGGAATGGCTGTTGGAGGGCAGCATAACCTCAGCCTTGTGAAACAAACACGGGTTGGAAAAAAAAAGCAATGAAAAGCAAGGGAGCAGTGGAAGATCTGATTGGAATAAGGAAACTGCAGACAGAAAAGGGATTCAGTCTGACAGTCCTAGAAATGTTGAATTCCTAGTTTGTGGACTTTTCTAATCTAATTTAATAAAAAAAATAATAAGAACGGAGCATATAGCAGTGTATTTTAAAAATCAATGGAAAAGGTCATCAGCAGTGTCTAACTCTCCATCTCCTGGGAGGATATGAAAGAGAAAGTACAATTAGTGCAATTTTAATTAGACAAAGGTCACTTTCAATCAACGCTTCCAATGGCAAACAGTGTTGCTTATCCAATCAGATGCACTCGTCACAGTTCTGTCCAACAATCAAACTAGAGGGAGGAGACAACTGCAGTAAACGTGTCACAGTGAGGTAGAAACAAAGCTTGGCTCAAATATGCAGCTTCAATGTCAGCCTTACAACCAATTTAAAGTTTTATCTTACATGTTCATTGTGATTAATTTTACATAGTTAATTAAGGAGTCAAGGCCTAATTAATAGTTGGGAGATGTCAAAAAGCTCACGGGGATCTTCTTTTTGTCCTTTTTTATTTTACAAGAGATGAGATTATAACTCATTGTAAGGTTTCTGTTCGAGGCTGATTCCACTTTAATGATCTAATGGAGAGGTGATTGGCTCTGTTGTTTAGTTTAGATAATCAGGTTTTTCATCTTCTCTCTATTTACTTCTGTTAATGCAGATGCTGCTCCCACAACTAGTCTCAAGTCTTTTGGGATAATAGCTCAATGTTAACAGAGACAGAAAAGAGAAGTCAGATGAAAGAAAAAAGGGAGAAGAAATGTTATTGATTTCCATCTTGGGACAAGGCTTCAGAGGCATCTGAAAGGCCGTTTACAGTTCGGTTAAGTGCTTTGTAAATTGTGTACTCAATAGCAAATGAGCAATTTCCATTTGCCCTGGCCACTGTAGTCATAAAAACAAGTTATTTTTAAATTCCTGGCCAGGAAATGGTCTTATTCGAGACAAAAGTCTAAATTGTCTCTAACACTAGAGAAAGAGATGCAAAGCAGTGCTGATTTTCGGGCTAATAACGCTCATGTTGTCTGTTTGAAATCTGTTCATGTGGTGCCTTGCAGAAGTACTCAGCCATAAAACCACACTCTAAATTATTTAATGTGATTTTTATGAAGTAAGCAGAATAAAAAAAATAGTATGCAATCTTAAAGTTTTGTTTTTCAAAGATTTATATTTGATATTAGTTTAC